CATTTTTCATTGGTGTGCAGAACTGTGCAGATGTCGAAAATCGCGCCTTTTGTTGTAATAGATTTCGGGCGTTGAGTACACTCAGCGTACGTTTTTCGCTGCATTTTGTATTATTGTTATTTGTTTGGGCATGCGCAGTGCGTTGAGAATCTTCGTGAAGCTTCCGAATACAGCCGAAACACGTAAGCCGATTAACTGTGACATTGTACAGCGTGTTTGCAAACTAATTACAATGTGTACTGAGTAAACAAATCCAAAGCATCATGAAACCAGCGGAAACAATAGCGTCCTCACTCCTTCTCTTTTTCTACCTCCATGATCAAACAAAATCCGAAACTTTCTCACCCACCTATGGAAATTCAGAAACAAGAAACTGAATGATTTACATATGAATTAATGCTCTCTAATTACTGTAATAGATTGTTTTTCTTTTCTTTTTCTTGTTGTTGACTTGTAACTTTTTACGCTGTTTCAAAGGCTAATAAAATATAATATTTTAATAAATACTAATTTATTTGTTTTGTTTTCAGGTCAGTTGTATGGGCATTTTGCTGATAAGGTTGTACAGTGGTATAGGGTTAGAACTACGCACAATGTATACTGACATGTGAAGCAGAGGATCAATCATTGGAAATTTGAAGTTTATTACGTATTTTTTGAAATTAGTACAAATTCGACCAGCAAGGCAACTTGGCAAGATATCAGATCTTTAGAATATAAGTTTAGGAATCATCTCAATTCAAATATTTGATTTTAGAATAAAAGTTGGAGATTCTTTCAAATGTTGTCACATTTCAACATTTTGATTTGTTGTACTATTGTCTATGATGATCTTGGCTGCAAGTTGTGGTTTGTGGGCATGTATGACCTTACTTGACCTGACATAACATATTTATTTGTATGCAATAAGTAACATTAGTTGCTTACCTCTAAACCATGTTACCGGAACATCTACAGTATAGTAAAATCCTTTCACTATAGCATCTATTAACGGTGCCATTTTGGTCACGCAAGCACTTCAACGATCTAGATTTGTTGTCGGAACTTTTCGCCGATAGAACCTGGATCGTGCCAACAAAATGGCGGATTCAAATTAGCCTCTGTCACGAAAACAATACACACATCAAACATTTATCATTCTATTTTAATTACGAACGTGATTTTATATCTCTAATAAGTTCACGTTTCTATTATAGTAATTTTAAATAGTACACTTGGTCAATATTCCAAGGTGAAATTTACGTGGAACTGTACAATTATGTCTTGTACGAGGTGGAAAGGTAACGTTGCCTCGTTCTGATCTACGGTCGACCTTTTCTCGTCAAGCAGAATGGTGAGTGGACGTGTCTTGTACCTTGGTCAAAAATCCATCAAAATCCACTAGAATTTTTGACCATCGACCTGAAACACGACGACAAATCAACGAAAGAACGTTAATTAGTATGAGCGGATGTTAATTTTTATGGATATTCAGTACCTCTGTGATATTTATACACTTTTTCTCGTTGAAATGTTTCAAGCATGTGTGTAAAACATAGGACGATTTTATATAAATTATACAGTCTGTTTAGTTCAACTGGTGGTAGTTCAAACAGTCGTATGGCGAGTGAATTAAATATTTGTAGCGTTATTCGCCTGTAAACTAGTGACAAATTTCAAATTCGTCTATTAATTTGCATTTCGTTAAAACCTTGTACATCAAAGTGGTTTAAATTATACAGCTATCAGTGTGTGGTTATAGACTACTGGAGCCAACAAAGCCTCAGGTGATGAAAATATTGCTCCAGTAGTGCAAAAAGCTCTTTTGGGTGCCAGGAATATTGAACACGATAGCATATTGAAAAGTTAATGCAGCTAGGAACGTCTTGGACTTGATTTATTTTAAAGGTCAAACATGAAAACCTGCATTTGATTACTGCACACCAGTGTTAAATGTTGCAGAATTTAATCTTGTATTAACAGTAAATTTAATGGTATGTAAGTAGTTGTATTTTCAGGTGGAATAGGAGGCAATTTAGTGGATGGTGATAACAAAATACACAAATTAATCCTAAAAAATTTGTTCACACAAGTATTGTTGCACAAATTTTTACTATACCGAATGTCACTCGTTGCTAGGATTTGTCTATTTGTTAAATTGATTCCTTCACTAGGGTTAGGTGAACATTATTTGTATTTTTATCCACAGAGTCATCGTAAATTTTCTGCGCCACGTCATGGCTCTTTGGGATTTCTTCCCAGAAAGAGGAGCAGGAGGCATCGGGGTAAAGTGAAGGCCTTTCCCAAAGATGACCAATCCAAACCATGCCACCTCACAGCCTTTGTAGGATACAAGGCTGGTATGACCCATATTGTTAGACAAGTTGACAGGCCTGGATCAAGTAAGCAAGTTTCTTCTGTTCATAATTCTCTAAGACAGACCGGAAACGGAAACGAGACAAAAACAAAAGATTTTTCAAGTTAGCGTGGGGGAAATAACGTTAAGTATTATCGTCAGGGAAAGCTATTGTTTAAGCTAGTCTATGATTGGTTGCTGGCAATGTTTGGGGGATTTTTGACCAGTTTGTGACGTAGGCTTGTCTTGGAGAATGCCACAAATAGACACTATTATGATTTAAAATTTCAATATTTGTTGACCTATTTCATGGTTTCCTTAAAATATTGCATGCCGATTAGCACCATTTACCCACCTACTTTTCTATATACTTTGCAAAAGAATACAATTTAGTCGCCATCAATGACAATCTTGAATTTACAGTGGCCCGACAGATTCAAAGAACTCTCGTTTTGAATTTTGTGTTGGTCAGATACTACAAAGATTGCTCTGTACATTAATTTACCTAAATAATATTCCTAAAAATATGTAGACTAACAATTTAGACTTGGTCATAAACCAATTAAAAAAATTATTTATATCTGCCAAGATTCCATTAGTTTCTGAATGCAGATGCTAAGCTATATAATATTGTTTACTTACTACATGGAGCACTAATCAACTTTCATTTCTTGCATAAAATAGAGGTGAACAAAAAGGAAGTGGTAGAGCCGGTTACTATTATAGAAACTCCACCTTTGATGGTTGTTGGAGTTGTTGGCTATATTGATACACCAAGAGGTCAACGAACTCTGAAGACTATCTGGGCAGAACATCTAAATGAAGAGTGTAGACGTCGATTCTACAAAAACTGGTAGGTAATGTCTAGTTAGTGTTTCTGCTCAGCAACTTTGCTGTTCTCTCCTGTCAAACTTTGTTAAACCATTCGATAAATACTTACTGTAGGTAAAACTACATTTAGTTTGTGGACAGAACCCAAATGTATGCTTAACCTTGAAAATTTTGGTATTCGATTGTAACAAGCCACTTGGCTTTCAGTCGATGGGTCTCCTCTCATGCTATGCGATGATGAGGCCTATTGTGATTTCTGATTCTTACAATAAGGTATCGTGCCAAGAAGAAGGCATTCACCAAGGCTTCCAAGAAATGGGGTGATGATGGTGGTAAACAAGCCATTGAAAAAGACTTTAATGCAATGAAGAAGTACTGCAAAGTTATTCGTATACTTGCCCATACCCAGGTATGTTTAATAACCCTGGAACTGTATGTACATTTCTGCTACATGTCCTGTCATGGTTTTACAAAACAGTATTTTTTTTCTTCATTACTAAGTTGTGAAACAAAATTTGTTTCTTATTCAGAGTTGAATCCCTATTGCAAGTGTCTTAATTTTTACAGAATTTGAGTGTGCTAACAATTTGTTAAAATGGTTTCAATAACGTATAGATTCCCATAACTGATTTTTTTTTCTATTTGATAATTTAAATTTGTTTGTTTCTTCTAGATGCGCTTAATGAACCAGCGCCAGAAAAAAGCCCATATCATCGAGATCCAGATCAATGGTGGTACAATTGCTGAGAAAGTAGACTGGGCACGTGAAAAATTGGAAAGTCAAATTCCAGTTACTCAAGTATTTGTTCAGGATGAAATGATTGATGTCATTGGTGTGACAAAGGGTAAAGGATTCAAAGGTAAACTGATGTGGACTGTATATCAAAGCCAGTAACAAATTGACAAGTGATGATAAAACATGGATGATGCATTTTGCATCCTGAATTCCACTATGTGGATGTCGCCATGCTGCCTTCCTACTGATGTCTAAACCACTACCATTCACATTACTTTCCATTCTTGTTTTTTGGAAATGCTAACAATTCTCTTGTTTGCTACAGGTGTTACATCACGTTGGGGTACAAAGAAACTGCCTCGCAAGACTCACAAGGGTCTTCGTAAAGTTGCTTGTATTGGTGCATGGCATCCTGCTCGTGTAGGCTATGGAGTTGCTCGTGCTGGTCAGAAAGGTTACCATCATCGTACGGAGCTGAACAAGAAAGTATACCGTATTGGAGCGGGTATTCATACTAAAGATGGTAAAGTTATAAAGAACAATGCTGCCACTGAGTATGATCAGACTGACAAAGACATCACTCCATTGGTAAATTACTTTGCTTCACTGTATTGCACCTAACCATGTAATTGCTAGTGTTGACTCTTGTGCAAGTCTTTGATGTTAGTGTCTGTCTGTCTGTTTCACTGATATCTCAAGAACCAGATCTTTTTAACCCTTATTTTCATAATTATTAGTAAATTTTCTTCTTTTCGACTCGAGCTCTTATGTTACAATGAAACCTGTTACATAGATGTCATAGGACAATGCTCTTACCTGATAAATTTTGAGTTAATAACCATGCATTTTAATTACAAATTTGCACAATTACCGGTAGAAAATCATACTTGTATACATATTTATAATACTAATCATCAAATTTCACTTTTTTTTCTCTCAAAAACCATTCAACGGATTTCAATGAATTTTGATACACATGCTCCTGGATAAATGCACAAACCTGATTAGTTTTTGGTTTGAGATCAATTTCAAATGACTATATTGCCATGTGACCTCATTATTTCATTTAATATTTCATTTAAACCATAGCTACTTCCCTTATCTGGTCAAGTCAATGTTAAAATACATGGGGCTGGTAGGTTAAGTTTCCATGAATAATTTACCAATTATTTGTATTTTCCTCAGGGAGGCTTTCCTCACTATGGTGTGGTAAAGAACGATTTCTTGATGCTGAAAGGCTGTGTGATTGGCCCAAAGAAACGTGTTCTTACTTTGCGCAAGGTATGTTGATCAAATTTGCTGATCCATACATCAGGTAAAATGCCAGCAATGGTATCCAAAGTCTTTGCAATGTAGGTGGCTCCAAATTTTCCACCATGCCAGTTATAAATGGTATGCACACTGACTTGCATATACTATTTCTAGGCTTTATAAAAAAACATTGTTCATACATTTTGTTGCAGTCTCTACTGACCCAAACATCACGTAAAGCCACAGAGAAGATCACACTGAAATTCATTGACACATCATCCAAGTTTGGTCATGGTCGTTTCCAGACTGGAATAGAAAAGCAGACTTTTATGGTGAGAATGAATTTTTCCCCTTTGTTAGAAGTAGACGTGTTGCACAATATGAATTTCAGTATGTGATTATTCACTACTAAATATGGCATATTCTCAAGAGCCGAATGTCCATTTTGTTTCGAAATTCCAATGGTCCTGCTTGTACTGATGTCATCGTACAATGCATCTTTATAATGACACCTACATTTCTATCGAGGTTAGATGGGATGTAGACATATTAGTTCAAAAGCATTTTCTTATACCTGCCTATCAAAACCTTTCTCTCTACCCTTCCTATACAGATACATACATGTGATAATTGTAAATGAAAACGCAGTGGTTTATTTTGCATCTTGTTGTAACAAATTATTTTCCACTTCTTGCAGGGTCCACTCAAAAAAGACGGTCTGAAAAAAGAAACTACTGCTTCCTAATACTGTGGAAACTATCAATTTGTACACGCTACTGTGTATTGTACAATGACAAATTAAAAATATGATGTGAATGCAAATGATTTTGTAAACTTTGTGTGATTGTTTTTCTTTTCAATGTTGATGGCCTTTGGACATCAGTTGGTTGTGATTGTCCTGGATTTGTCCATCTGCTCCCTTGCCTGTACAAAAATATCTTAACTTGGAAGATCCAGAGCTGTTAACAGCAGAGTAGAACAAATAAACTGAATTTATGCAGCAGTTTTAAAGAAGGAAAAATCTGTCGTGAATTGCAAGTAATTCTAGAGGCAGTGTATTCATTGGGTAAAACTAGTTGCTGTGGCAATGAAAATTAAACAAAAGGTCAGATATCAAATTGCCAATGAATACTTGCAACCTCTGAACAGGGTGTAGCAAGGTGGTGGCTAAATAAAATTACCTTGGCCATTGGAATTGAAATGTACCATCTGAAATGCATTCTAATATAAAACTAAACCTTACATTTGTGCAATGAGTTGTTGCTTTGTGACCTTTGGCATCTTCAATCAATGACATGTGCTACTAATTGAGCAAATTTGGTATACTGTTGAGTGCATAGTTTATTGAAATTGTATCTATGATTTTTAAGAAGGTGCTAGGGTAGTGCCCCATTTTCTTTGCAAATTTGAGGTAGAACTATTATCGGTGTTCCACGCAAAAGTTGGAATTTTCATTGCAATAGAATGTGACAATGGTGTTCAAAGTTTGCTAGATGAGTGATTCTATTCGGGCAAGGTGCCTTTTCTGAGGTGTTCATAATTATCGTTAATGGCTGGTGTGATTTTGAAATTGACAGCTCATGTTCTGTTGAATCATAAATGAGGTTTCAAAATTTTAGTTTCAATGAGACCTTCTATTCAGGCAAGACAAGTGGAGCTGCTTAAAATATCAGTAAATTAGTTTAATTACCAGTAGTAAATTTTTGTCCATTGCCAGATATCTGGTGTTTATCTCGTTTCAATGAAACTGTATATAGATGCTTTTAGCTTAATCGTGCATATTAATTACCTAATTTGCATGTTAATATTGTTTGGTTTTTCCTCCAAAAAACTACAACAAGGCAGGGTGTAGGTGCCAGGTAACAGTGACAGACCTTATTTGTAGTTTCAAAAACTTGTATTAGTTACCTAATTTGCGTAATTAACTAAGGTCTGATTTCAAACCAATATCTCTAGAACCTAATACTACATTTCAATGACACTTGTGAAAGGCCTGTTCAGTTTTGGATTAAAATTTATGCATACTAATTACATTATTTGCATAATATGCAGCTTCCTTTTCAGCGTATATAAGTGATCTAGGGGTAATCCATAGAAGTGATTAATTTAGTTCTGAAATTGCACATATTAATCACCCAAGTTTTTAGATGTACCACAGATCTAGAACCCACCACTAGTCCATAGAAGGTATTCAAGATTGAAAACAATGAATATTGTTTACCTTATTTGCATATCTTAACAAAATTATACATGCATAAGGTGCAAACAGCAGACTTGTAGTAGTCTCCAGCTTCTTAAATTTTCTCTATTTTAATTTTTGTGCTCAAATTCTCACGGCATTTCTAAACTTTCTTTAATTAAAGTTACTCTAGGACAAATTTTTGAATAAATACTGTTTCTTGAATGCAGTGTATTGAACAGATTCTGAACTGTGATAATCTGTGCCTAGTAATTTCATCTATTAGAAAAAGACTTTGATACGGTCTGACACCTCTCTGGAGCTTAATAAATCGGTTCGCAAATGATGGATAACATTTTGCAATGTTTTGTGCATTGTTGAGAATCTACCTACGTTTTAAACCACGCCTTCATTGTCCATGTCTCGTTTTATTTATTGAGTTGCAAGACATTGAACGTGACAGAATATGTTATTGTTGTTTGTCTAGGATTTCTTGAATGTGAGAGTGAGTTGTATGCATTATCAATACACACGTTAGTGTGGAGATCATTAATTTATAAATCTGTTTTGGTATAAAATGATCCTTGTTCATTACATCGTTACTGTTCTGTCATTTCTTCATGTGTGTAAGAGAATAGATCTGTAACACATATTGCTTGTATGAACATTATGAAGATGGATATAATAATCAGTTATCTTGTATGGGTAGGCAACATTTCATATATTCAATTCAGTCAACTGCAATTTATGGTTTTAAAGGCCCATTTAATCTTGTTTTCATTGAATTTTGTTTTATTTTATCTGGGAAATAGTAGGAGCTTTTAAAGTGCTTCTCATACAACACTGTATCCATGGAAATTTTGGTACAGGAACATTTAGCTGACCCTTTTCGGACTGACTGTCAAGTTCGCCGTAGACAAACAGTTAAAATACTGTAGAACACAATGAAATAGCTACATGCTATTTTAACATATTTAACTCTAGGCATGAATTAACAGCCCCTTAATTCAGCTAAAGTGTCGACTATCTGTGTGAGAATACACTTTCTGTTAAATTAGCTGCATTTTGAATTAGTGAAATTACAGATTAGCTAAATTAGCTAGAATAACATGCTAGCTAAAAAGACAGTTGTTTTACAGTAGTTCTCGTTTGAGAAGTGAGCCCTCTATGTCAACGTGTTTGACAGTCGTGACAGATAATGTTATTCATATTGCTAGGTGAGATACTGAGTTATACTTGTTAAATCACTGGGTGTTCCATAAAAAGGCGTGAAATAGACAGAGGGACGGGTGTTGAAGTTTGCCAATCCCATAGAAAGACTGGTGTGCGTGATATTGACTGGCTTGCATTGTTTGAATCCCTACAAAGGGTCTGGTGTGTGTGAAATCAGGGAGCTGTAATGATTAATTAATGTAATAATTACAGCTCCCTGGTGAAATAGACTGACTTAACAGAGATCTGCTCATCATCACACTAAAATCTAGATCCTCTGAAACACTAATTCCTGCATTTTAGAGGGCAAATCTTGCTAACACACAGAGTTTCAGCTTTCAGACCCCCCCCCAACATTTTTTCGAGGGGCGACGGCGACTGGTGTGCGTGAAATACAGTACTAGTAGGCTGACTCTGTAAAGTCAGTGGATAAATATGACGTGTGATTCCAATCTGATTAATATAAGGTCCTAGTTTGTTTTTGTTTTTTTCCGTTTTTAAAAAAATGATTTTTATATTGCTATCATACATTTTCTTTTGCTTGAATTTACTATTTATTTACTGACAGTTTTTTATATGTTTTTGTAATCACGAAATGCGACAGTTGAAGTAATACAAAATATATATGCATCAGATTTTAATCTGATTTCAACCTGATTCTAATTTCGTATTTCACAAAAGTAATTTTAATGACATACGAGACGAGCCTTTTCTTGTTTAGACATTTAAACGTGACAATGACACGAAATTAAAGTTTCATGAAATTATTTCTAAGACCACGATTCATTGTAAAATCACACATTAACTGACAGTTATTCTAGAGAAGACAAGGTGAAAGAAATACTTATTATTTACTGCACATTTGCATATCCCGTTCCCGGGGTCACGTTGTCATTATCCATCATTGACTCGCAATGAATTAGCAATTACAGGTTGAACTCATTACGCACACTGAGCCATCAACTTGTTATTTTCTTCTATTCATACCCATTAAGTGGTCTTCAATCATTTTGTTCTTTTCTGACGTCAGGAAATCACGCTTCGAGTTAATATGTGTTCGTAATTGAAGTTCTATCTGAATTCCGATTTCTGTTATTCTTACTTTTGTTCACATATTGCTCGTTGTCGTCAAAACTAATTAATTATTAAAAATTGCTGTTTTAGAACAGTTCTATACAACACAATGTTAAAACACAAAATCACTTTTTAAAGCCCAGATTTGTTCTAATACTCATAAAATGATCAATTCAATAAAATATATTATGTGTAATATTGGATTGGTCTGAATTTGCTGATTCGATTTTCAAGACGTTCAAATGCCGAAGATCGTGTCAGATTTCCATGTTCCTTATTGGATTTCATTGCTAACAATTTTGACACTAATCTGAAATAAAGCCTAAATATTTACAACCATTCACGCATTTCCATATATTTACATACTTTAGGTCTATACCTCTGTGAAACTGTAGAAATCACACCAGAGTACAATCCATGTCTTGTACAGAACAGTGTCAGAAAATTTGGTCAAGCCTTCCTAAAAACAGTATCTATGTCCAAACATCTTTACATCAAATACAGAAACAGAAAGAACTATAAATTTTAAAAAATCGTAAACTGTTTTATGTTCTGTTGGCATATCATGAAACACGTGCGGACACCACAGTGTTTATGCAATAGATGTCTCAATCACGTATAACTCATTCTTCCAAATTTACTTCTATTTGAGTTGGTTATAAATGTATGTATTAGAACTTGGTAAAGCTAAGACCCAATGCCCTCAGTACTACGCGAGTGCATTGAATATTCTCGACATCTACATTGACACGAGATTGCTCAACTCGATGGTTATATATCTTTCATTATTTTTCAATTCTAAGTCGTTGAGCTGCTTGCACGAGATTTTCTCTTCAATCAGCCAATACGTATGTTCTTTATTTAAGTCTACGTGCATGTCAATACCTTGTAATATAGACTTAAATCTACAGCTTTCTATATAATAGAAACAAAAATCAATTTTGCGTCGTATCCCATCTCTTTGAAGCAAGCAAAGATATTTTCAGCGATTCTGTGTGAAATTGAATTAGACATTTTAAAAACATAAAAATTATTTACATGGCACTGATTGTATATCCCATGCACGTGTACATTGCCACTCGAGGCGACAATTTGAATGAAAATTCCACTTTGAACTCGCGTGTTTACTACTACTCCGTTTTATTGAATCCCATGGCGTGAATTAAGTACGCCAGTAAAACTATAGTGTATGGTCAATTAGTTGACGAGGCGGGATTCGGTTAGATCGGTGCAATGACACAATGTAATGGTCAAGGTAGAGTATACGCAGATCAGTAAGTTAAATTGAATAACTACTGGTTTACCACTATATACAACTAATCGATCTTATAAAACTTTATTTCACTGTGAAATCAATGTGAAATAT